AATTTTTAAGTAATTTTACAAAGACATATGATGGCAAACAGTGCAATAGCTTAGCGTAAATAAAGCACCTGAGGATGGCACTATGTTGCTGGGGTTTCACACTTAATATCCCTGTTCGCAAATCAGTTCACTCTCTCCTCAGTAGTCTACACGTATTCACTACAAATTACTATATCAGACACTATGTCTCTTAATCTGTTACATTTGCTAATAGATCTTGGTAGGTAGCGGCATTTAAAAATATAATTCCTCTTGTATCCTCTTGAAATCGAGTGGAGGAATTTTCTACATTTTAAGCTAAACTTAATTATATATAAAGTTATAAATTAATTCCAGGGTTTTCATCCGAAGCAGCATTTTTCTCTCAGGTGAGAGCCCCTGTATATGTGGGATCAAGCTCTCAAAGAAAGTGGTATCTTCGTCGCGGACTTTGTGTCCTTCCTCACCTACTTTCAGTATTGGTCTCTGTATTTCTGGTGGGGCGTTGCCGACATCAGTTTCGTACGAACGCCACGTGACTTGGTTGGTGGTACCCCAGTCAATGCTCGAAGTAGTTTGCTGTTCGTTTGGAGGGAGAAGAACGGAGCTGTCAGTATCCGCAGGAACGTCATCCAGTTTACTCAGTTCTGAACTTTCTACCTCTTCTCCTCGTGTCTGGTCGGACCTTGAATTCTTGTATTTTTCTGGCGTTATTTCACCCCTACTCGCATGGGAATTCATCTGATGTTTCTGAAGTTTCGTCAAGGCTGAACTGTTGGAGAATTCCAGACACACATCAGCAGTTGTTCTTTCCGGCACTTCGTCACCCGGCTTACATTCTTTTCCAGAACCACCGAATTTTGAACTTTCTGGACCTCCATGTACCGAGTCGGTTAGGTCAGGTTTCAAAGTCTTCTCTTCCTTAGACGAAATGTCCCGATTTGTTTCATAGGATAAGAAGTTACCTTTCCTAAAGGAGAGACACGTAAGTCGTGGTGAGGTTGAATCGACCGAGAAATCCAGTCGAGGATCGCAAGTTTTTGTTGTCGGCACTTCTGCATTTGTCTTAAGTTTCTTTGTAGCAGCAGTGTGTTGTGACGTTTCTACCCCTCCATCTGGTTTATCTGTTTGGATGTCCCAGAAACCTTTTCTCTTTTTAGATGTAACATTATTGCTACTCGCATGGGTCTTGAACTGCTCCTTCTGTCGGCACAGACGTGCGAGAAGTGGTAACTTGGGATCCGTGGAGGATTCCTCATTACCGGTGCCCTTGTTTCTTCTTGGCAGTTTGTCACCCAGCTTAGGCTCTTTCTCGGAATGATCGTTTTGTGAAATTACGAGCTCTTCGGGTACACTGTCTATCTGGATATGCCAGGTATCATTCCTTTCTTCAGGTAGATGGTCGTTTTTACGCGCATGGAAAGCAAACTCGTGATTTCCAAGGCTGAGATGATTGATATGTGACATTATTGAATTGTCGGAGATGTGTAGTACATAGTCAGAAGATGTCTTCTTCCTCTTCACTCTTTCAGTGGGCTTAGTTTCTTCGCCAGAACAACTTAATTTTGAAGTTTGTATCCTTCCATCTTTTGAGTCCTTTTGGCCAGTTCTTGAAAGCTGTTCTGTAGACGGATTGTCCTCTGTATTGACATGCGATGACATCTGCACTTCTTCATGACGGGACCCTTTAAAATTGTGTCGTGAAGTTTGTAGCATTTCATGATGTTGGTCATTTTGGCCATCCTTTAAATGAATCTTTTCCCTATGCCGCATGTCTGCAGTACTGACATGGGATGGAATCTGCTCTTTTTCATGGACGTGTCCATTAGAACTATGTTGTGAACTTCGGAAATTTGCGTGTTGTGGGTCTGTTTGGTCATTCTTTGATGTATTGTTTTCTTTAGGTGGAATGTTCGCTTGCTCATCCTCTAATTTCTTGTCTTCTGTGGGCCGCATGTCTGCTGTACTCACATTGGATGAAATCTGCTCTTTTTCATGAAAGTGTCCTGTAGAAGTATGTTGCGAACTTCGTAAATTTCCGTCTTGTGGGTCTGTTTTCTCATCCTGTAAAATCTTTTCTCTTGGCCTAATGTCCGATGCATTCGGATGCGATGAAATCTCGTTTTCATGCCGGGGCCCTTGAAAACTGTGATCTGAAATTTGTGGCTTTCGATCGCGTGGGTCGCTTTGGTCATCCCTTAAATTATGAGTTTCCGCTCTATTATTATTTAATGTAATGTGCTCCCTTCCACGATAGGGCCCTTTAAAACAATGTTGTGAACTTAGTAAGTTCCCCTCACTTGCGTCTGTTGGGACAACCCCTGAAGTCATTTTTTCTTTTGCGGGAACATGACCGTTACTCGCTATGGGTGTGTACTGGCTCTTCAGGAAGTAAAGGTTACAAAATCGTCGCTTTGATTTGTAGTCGACGAATTTCAGATCGTTAACACCACATCCTTTCATGCGCATTTTTGTCATGATTCTTATGAAATTGTTTCGAATTGTTTTCCACTTGCCCTTTACTTTTTCACTCGTGGAGTTCATTTCTCGAGCCACTTCTTCCCATAGTACGCATTGTGCACATACCCTGTATTTCAATGGATGTTGCCGGTCCCACAATCCCCTCCGCTGGAAAACTAAATGGATTAACTTGTCAGGATCCATTGAACAGTGGATATTCCTCTGCGTCCGTTCTCTCGTCCTTGCCGTCCCCACTGCTCTCGGCGACTGTTAGACTTCCGCTGCACTCGGCTACTTCACAATCCTGATCACACACCGACTATTGATCACACACTAACTTCCAACTGGTGACTCACTTCCAACTCACTGCTGGTTAGATTCCAGCTCAACTCGTAGGCTGCTGTCTTGAGAATTGTCTGCGGCGGCTGTGTGGTTCCCTTATATAGCTGCAGACGTCGTTACGTGCCACGTCACAGTAGGAAGCGGTGACACGTCACAGCGGGAAGCTGTGCCACGTAACAGTGCGTGGTGGGGGGACGCCGACCGTCCCGCAACCGCGACAACGCTCGATGCCGACACCGCTGGCGCGGTGGGGGTGTCCTCCATTGCGCAACATGTCAGAATACATATTGTAACGTGTAACAGCTGTTTACTCACGTTGCCTAACAACTAGCATGTTTGGACTCGGTTCACTTCGGCTCCGCTCGGCACGTCACGGCTGGCGGGGTGGGAGGGGCATCATCCATAGCGCAACGCGTCACAATATCATGGATGAAAATCAGTGCAACAGGGCGCTAAAATACAACACTGTGATAGGTATGATTGACTGGAAATCATGTCATAGGAAAATGGGCTTTAAGCGTTCTACCCGAAACTCCTTGTTTTAATGTAGTTTATTCTCTTAATGAAAGACGTTAGAGTCGATTAGTCTAACGGTTAGACTAATCGATCGCCATGCTGCCTGTTTGCCCCCACATCTAATCCTTTGAATATGTTGAGCAGTTGGTATGGGCATTATACCATTTGAGATCACCCCAACTTATACTTCTTAATTTCTGCGATCGGTAAAGGCATAATGGGGGAAACGTGGTGAATGAATTTGAAGCGACACTATCTCCAGTAGTGTTGTGAAATTGTATATGTTAATAGGTCTTCGAAAAATATTGTGCCATGTATATTCGTTGCTAGGCAATGACCATGAAACAAGTAACTGTACAACAGCCGTTTCTAGGTAGCTGCTCCGTCAGCATGCAGCAACGCAACAATTCCACGGCAACAAGTGGATACAACAGTAATGGGAAGCAGTGCTTTCTGCGCGGTCCGTGCCGAGATGTAAGCAAGACAAATTATGAGCTTAGTGAATGTAAAATAATTGAATGACGATTGCATGAAATCTGTTTTTCATTTATTCATTTATCAAGTTGTGTCAGGCGGCTGGTACGTCTTCTTTGTAATGATATCATTTATCTCTTTACACAAGAGCTTAATTATTAATTGAGATGGATTTACGTGTTTCTTCTAATTGACTCACTAATTCTGCACAACTGAAGCAACTATATTCACTATTATTAACTGTATTACAACTTTGTTGTCGACACTCAAATTGCCACGTCACGTTACAATCCGCCATATTGACACCAAGTTATTACACAATGTGAAAAATTCGTAAACATACACTTCTGCATTTATTACGGCTGTTTAGCAACTGAGACAACTTTACCTTAAACTTATATTACTCATAATCACTAGCAGTATTTCCCGCGTTTTTTCAACCTCAGTTCCTACAAGACGCGAGGTGATCCGTCTACACAGGATAGCCAATCACATAATAATGTATTAGAAATTTGAACGGATCTGAACTTAAAATTGTGATCAGTGTTTTGTACCAAATGAACAATCTGTCATACTTTATTAATCTGCCATATTTATAATTTTCAATACCACACATTCTGAGTAATATTACATTTGGGGGAAACCACTACGATTGGTGTTAGGTGTAGCATTGCGGCTAGTATAAAATGCGTTTCAACCATGAGAACTGTCATTGTGCAGCAAAAATTAGCTAGGGCCTATAAATAATTTGACTATGCCTTTAGTCATCGTTTACCAATATTTCTTACTTGTGCAGGGGAATAGGTTTAAAATGTTTAAAATAACAAACACTCGGCTGTGGTTTAGCAATTGATGTAAATAGTCGAATACCAACTTAAATTAATAAACTGCCCTTTGAGTCTAATAATGGAGTATTCCATATTGTGATGTTATATTACGGCAAAGCTTAAACCCGATGTGAACGTTGTGAAGTGAATATTCACAAATTGTAGCCATTGACATGATGTGGTGGTAATAGGCTGGAGTTCGTGTTTAATAATGTACACATCATGGTTGAGTAATTTCAGTGTTTATTGTGACAATTTATCGGTCTATTATATATGTATGATTTTATTATCATTCCTAGCTGTTTTCTTGACGTGGTGGCTACAGGATACTGACCGAAAACAGGTTGAAGATGTTGAAAACGATGTAGGTCCAGCAGTAGCGTTTGGGTTAGACATCTATTCGATCTATGCTTTGTAATAAAATGCAGTAACGCGCAGAAAAGATACGATGTAGGTCAAGCAGTAACGTTTGGGTTAACCATTTATGTTCTGTAATAAAATAAGTGCAGTAATGAGCAAATAAGATATTTCGATCATATTATGTTCAGTTATACTCTGTTCTAGTCTTGAAGTTGGTCACTTTCCAAATGCGATGCGTTATTACAACATAAGCGGGGAAAAAAATCCGCCTTCGCATGTTCTAAAATGCATTTGTTTTTGTCATCTGATGTTTATAACCCCAGCCCCCATGATCATTCTTGCAGAATGCAGAAGTTGTAGATCTTTTACTGATAACATTGCCGGCACCCACAAATTTAATATGCTTCATAAGATTACAGAAACACATGAAAATTACTGATAAACATCTTACTTTTTAGCTGACTTGCATCTATTCTTTTTTATTTCAAATTTTGTAATAAGTGTCTAGGGCAAGGTTCAGATTACTTACTTTACACATGTAATGTAATGTTTGCTGCTTAATTTTAGATTTAGTCCTGATGCTGTGAGACCATTTAATTTAATTGCCCTGTTTATACTGAATTTTATTACATTTAGTGTGGCAATGGACTTTTTAATTTTAGTTTGTTGGGCATGAGGGTTTAGTAGCCGTTTCTAGGGAAGGACAATGCATAAAAAGGAAAAAAGAAAGAGGTAAGCCATAAGACACTATCCACCTCATCCCAAGGAGTATGGTGAGTCTTGTGCTTGATGTAGTGTGGGTGGGAGGAAACAGTGAAAATATCAATCTATGATAACAAATATGTTACAGAGATAACTCATTTCACACATTTTGGTCAGTCCATGCATAGAGTTGCCTAATTATGAGGTGCAATCATATTTAATTCCATGTCTGTAAGAACACGGTCCACTTGGACAGTCCCATCCCTGCAGATACACTGTGATATCTTGTAGTTAAATGCATTTCTGCATGTTTAACTGTAGTTTGTAAACTGTGATAATTAGCAGTGAGACCTTGTTGAACCCTGTTTTGTCATCTCATGGGCCTGTGATGCTGGTATTTGGATAATTGTTACATCCTCAGTATTTAATTATTTCTTGTGTACTGCATTTCTTCAGGAGTGCTATTCTTAATGTGTCATTCATATCCTTTATGATGTTCCTGAAAGTTAACATATTAAATGTTTCTGCAGACTGTAATGTAAATTACACCCCCCCCCCACCAAGAACTCATACATGAAAAGCATGTTGAAATTTAAAGAATAATATGAACATAAAAATGAAAATTATGGGATATAGTGCCATATGGCCACCTGCTGTTTCTTGCTGGGCTGATTTTTGACCCTGAAGATAGAGGTGACATGTTCCTCTGAAACGTTGGTTCATACACGGACTGTGATGCTATATCCCAGAAGATGGCAGTTTTCATTTTCGTAACTGCCACTGTGAGAACCTCAAATCCTACATAATACTGTATGAACATAGTTTTGTGCATTACTTGACAGTAATGCAAGGGTTGGTGAATGATGAGATGGAACTATATCTGGTGTATTACCATGTGAAAAAGATTCAGAAACATTGCCCTAGACACTTTGGTAAGATACATTCCACAATGTGGCCTGATAATTTAAGGAGTTTGGAGACCAGTTCCACTTTGAACATGGTAGACCATAGGCTTGTCCTTACCAGTGGTCTGATAGCTGTAGATCTGTTTCTTTACAAAGCCATACTACTATTCAAAGAAAAATAAATCCATAAAACTCGGATAGGGCTTTCAGGGCCCTTCTGTGGGGCAACACATGTGCTACCCTGTGCGCAAGGAAAGTGTCATGTAACCAAACTATTATGGACTTTGAGGAAATTAGGTATGATCAGCCTTTTACTTCAATTACAAAATTATCATTTCCTGAAGACTGGTCAAATATGTTCATGGTTTAATAAAATATGTGAGCAATAGTGTAGCAATTTCCCACGTGGAAGCACATTAAATGTAGTTCATTATCTCACAGCGCACCAATCATACATTATTAAAATCTATGTGTGTGCAATATCCACATACAGACTCTTAACAGACAAAATATTAAGATTAAAAAGGCTATTCAGAAAGAGTACATTATGTAACAAATATAAACAGAAATGCAAAGTAATGCAGTTGCAAACTCATAGAACTAGAACTGCACTCAAGGAAATCGAAGAGTTAATATTTTACAGTTACTTTAAGTACCAATGCCAAGATGTTACTAATCAGAGCAACAACATGACAAAGAAACAGCTGCACAAGGTTGGTGGGATGACATGAGAGCTCAGCACTGGCTCACTGTCACTTTTTGAAATATTGTCAGATATGTCATATTGCATTCAAATACGGAATGCCAAGCATGCTAGATGGGAAACAGCGTATTAATGTAATGGTATGCATTTTGTTTACTGTATGCTATGTAAGTTCCTGTCTATCACTTTAATTCCCCAAAGAAACATTTAAATGATTGAAGAGTGGAAAGAATGTCCGAATATATAAACCAAATTTTTGTTAGACATGAAAAATGAAAACCCCTGATTTCAATTCCAGAATGAAGAAGCAAATGATCACACGGAAATGACTGACAATGAAAGCATCCTATCGCAGATTAAGATATCTAGACAAAAAGCTATCGCAGAACAACTGTCAGCTGGACTAACAGAAGAACAGCTACAGCAGGAAAAAGAGTAAATACTTTTATTTCCAGATCTGTTTACTCACTGAAAAATCACAAAGAAGATAAAATAGTGGGCAAGTCAAATGAAATGCTGAATTTGTAATATGTCCATCAAATTTGTTGCCCATGTGGTTTAAGTTTTGCTGAGGACAAGGATACATTAGTGTTGTGAGTTAAAATCCTTCTCTCTGCCTAGCAATTGGTGGTTCTATATCTTGGGCTAACCTCCCCAAGCAAATGAGGCTAGAGCTTAAAGTATTATGAGAACTGTGAAGAGGCAAGGATTAGAGATTAAAATCCTGATAGAGGGAGGAAGATTAAATCACATTACACTGAACTATTGTCTTAAATACAGTGTAACCCCCATTTAATGTTCCTTGATATAAAGATTCCCTTATTTAACATTCAATTTCACTGATTCCAGATCAGTAGTATCAGTGTTAAATTACTTTCATTTAAAATTATTCTCAATTTAGTATTCAAATTCAAGAGTTGGAATAGCATAGTAGGTATAGTGACTGCCTACAAGCTGGACGACCAAGGCGTTGGAGTTTGAGTCTCAGTGGGGGCAAGAATTTTCTCCATGTCCATACCGGCTCTGGGGACTCTTCCCTGGGGGTAAAGCGGTTGGGGCGTGAAGCTGACCACCCACTTCCAGCTGGTGCTAAGGTCAACAAAATGTGGATCTATATATTCACTCCCGAATACGCCTTCATGGCATAGTGCTCAATTAGTTAAGCACAGGGACAACTTTACATTTTACCTTTAGTGTTCAAATTCACTGGTCTCCAAAGAAACCTTAATTAGGGATTTCACTGTAGTTACAGCAGATACATCTACTTTGGGGAAATTCAGGAAAGATTGGAGGTTCATTTAACTCACTGCCCTCAGCAGACAATAAATTTCTGGCTTCATGCATGTTTTTATTCCCTTCTTCAGTATGATATGATGAAACACTTCTGTGAATCTCATTCCATTATAATAAACAGACTTCAGACTGTGTGAAACAGAAACGAATATTGATTAGGGCCATATTCTGGGATGTAATGGCATGTAGTCTGGTAGAATTTTACAATTATTTTGAAAGTTTTCTATCCTCAGCTTAGTCTGCTTGCTGCTTTCTTAGCTTACTCTTCAAGAATGAAAATGGAGGCAACATGTTCCTTCAAAATCTCAATAAACATACACCATCCCAGAAGACAGAATAATTTCAGTGATTATTTAGTCAATTCTCAGCTAGAGCACAAAAATTAAAATAGTAGGCATGTGTTAATAAAACAATGCACATAGGTCAAGGCTTCTAAAATGTACCACGGACAATGTAAAATCAGCTCCAAGTGCTGACCCACTGCATCAAGAGGTAAGATAATGTTGGTTACAAAAAAATGCAGTGAATTTTTGAACGGCTGAGTCGAATCTCATAACAAAATACATTATCAAAAATATTAATTTAAGGCTAGGTCTGAAGTGTGTTCCAATCTCACTCCCATCTAATTCTTGGTCGCTACAGATCAGATTCCTCCAGGGTGGGATGTCATATTAGGGACCGGATTTTTATGCCCCTAATAATCCCTGAAATATGTGTGCACTTATGCTTGAAAAACTTCCGAAATATGCACATAAAATTTATACCAAATATTAAAATTGATTTTAAATTATTTTAAGACCAACAAATCAATATTTAAGTTAATTTTATGTAATCACTGAATGTTTCATTTGCAATAAAAAGCTAGAGTTAAATACAAATCATGCAACAAATTTCATTACTCACATTTAGCTCTCCGAACTTTCAACTTCTCTTCTGTTGCAGTTCACAATTACTAACTATTTTAGGTTTTTCATAGTTAGTCGCCTCCTATTCTCTCGTAAGATGTCCTTATAGCGGGAAAAACTTCTTTCCACCTCACAGGAACTTAGGGACGCATGTACAAAAGCCACTATTTGCTTCACTGCTAGTGGTTTTTTACTTGGCAGTTCAGTACACTTACCGGCTAAAATTTCTTCAATTTCACAAATTTGTTCATATCCTGGATTTTTTCATAAATTGCTGTGTACTTTTTCCTTTACTACTTCAACTCTTCCAGGAACCGAATTCAATTTGCAAACAGTGGTTTTGAACACACTTAGTGACTGATACAAAGTAGTATTGCTATTGTTTGCCTCCAGTGAGCAAATGGCAGATGGAAGATGAGAGAAGTGAGCAGATATATAGGAAAGATTAGTTTCTAGTTCTGTGTCTTTTAGTACATCTTGGGCAATTTGAATTGATGCTGCACTTTTGGGACCAAATGTATTCACGACATTCCTAACTGTTTCTAAATGTTCGGTATAATAACTTGCTGCACACAGCCACGTGCCCCAGCGCGTTAAAATTGCTTCTGGCAGAAGTGGAACGCTCGGTGCTACTGCTTTGAAGGCTTCTTTCATGTATGGTGCTTTAACAAATACCTTCTTCACAGAAGACACCAACTTGTCAACAACCGAAAAATTTGCATGAATTGTTTCTGCAACATGGTACAACCCAGGGGCAAGGCAAGTCAAATGTGTCATATTTGGAAATATAACTTTAAGATCAATATCGGCTTTCATCATATAACTTGTGGCATCAGTCACAAAGAGCAGTACGCGCTCATACTGAACACCATTCGGCCATAGTAAATTCATAGAATTTATAAAAAATTTGGAAACTGCAGAGCTATTTGTGGTTTCAAATTGCTCTACCGCAAGAAGATATGGGGTAGATTGTTCATTCTTATTAAGGGATACAACTATACAGTTTGCAATAAACCGTCCCTCACAATCTCGTGTTTCGTCGATTGATACCCACACAAAATTATCTTGAATCTTATCTTTAATGCTTTCAATTGTAAGATCGTAACACTGCTTCATGTAATTTTTTCTCACAGTAGATTCATCCGCGCACTTTGCACTGTGTATACTTCTCTATGAAGTTTCTCAGAGTAGGATTGGTTAGTTTCCACAGCGGAATATCTGCCGCTTAAAAGGCCTCGCATAAGTCAAAGGAAAACTGAAAAACTATTATTAGAAAATTCACTAAGCGATTCTGGAACAGGAGCACTCTTTGTGGATTTAATTTTAATATTCTATTTGTGTATATTAGTGTTCAAATGCTGAAGCACTTGAAAGCGTTTTTCACAACCAACTGCTTTCTCACATGCTTGGCAATAAAGAATTTCGTTATTCATACTTATCATCTCTCCTTCGAACTCCCGCTGATACAGCTGTAATTTAGTTTTCTGACTTATTTTCACTTTTGGCATGACTACAGAAAGCTAAACAAACTTAACTACAGACTAGTCACAACTAATGTGAATGGCTCCCAGGATCAAATGAAGAAGCATAATGAATCTCATGGAGACTTCAGAAATAAATAAGTGAAGTCCCTTATCGGTTGAATAGTATTACGTTGATAGCGGCTACATGTGGACGCTTCCGACTAATCTCTCTGCGGCCACTTTGATGGTACGCAGATGAGGCAAGTTACAAGTAAAAGGATTGGGGAATATTACATCAGAAACATGAATCATGATGAAATGTTGAGTCAAATATGCAACATATTCTAATACAGAAAAGAAAAATTGTATAAACACGACCATGATTGAAAATTTGAACATAAAATTAAAAAATATATATGATAAACATTTTAAAAAAGGAAATATGCAGTATAAATATAGATATTTGAAAATATGATGCTTATTCATAAAACAGGCAAAATATGCATTTATATGCACCATCAAACCATGTCCAAAATTTAAGAAATGAAGTAATTCATATATATATCCAAACGAGCATACTTTCTGGTTGCAAGAAAGAAATATGCATTTGCATTAAAATCCGGTCCCTACTTATTATAAAAGCTTCTCCATTCTTCTCTTTAAGTACTTCTGTTGTATTGGTGTTCATTTCTTTCCCAGCTGTAGGTTGTATGTTTTCCCCTCCCTTGGTCTCCCCAGTGGCATTTGACATCTTAATTTAGTACCCCATTGTACACATTTCCTTGCTAATTATCCCGATCTGACTTTCTTGTAATGTTTCTGCTTTAAATTCTTTCCTAATGTCCTGGTTTTGAATCTTAATCATTTTTGTCCATTTCATAATACAATGTATAAATTTAATTTATACTGTCTCCAGTCTGCTTACATGAAATGTAAGTTATTCCCAACATTCAACCCAGTGTCCATGTGGGAGAGAGGTAATATCTTAAAGGGGGGGGGGACCATGACAGGAATCCTGAGAACAATGGTTATTGTAAAGCTCTGATAAGACTCATCAGAGCAACACCATGCAGATGTTCAAAATGTTTGGAACCAATATCACATATGTATAAAGACATTGCTGAATAATGTCTGTATTACCAGAATAATGTGTAAAGATTATTCTCTTGTGTGAGCATGAAGGCTGAACCCACAGAGAAGTAGCAAATTAATTTAATGATAATCATTCAGAACATAATCCAGGTACACAGCACATAGTTGGGAAATCAAAAAGGTTTCAAGAAATTGGCTTTGGGAAAGTGGAACAACATGTAGCAGCAGGTTTATACTTTAAAAATGAATAATTTACCACACCTACTGCACAAAAGTGAAGAAGTGTGCAGGTCCACTGTTTAAGCAGATATTCTAAGATGTTGAAGGAGCTGGTAGCTTCTCACATGCCGTGGTATATGAGAATATAATACATAAAACACTGTAAAATAAAATATACTATTTGGTTCCACACTTTTTGAACATTCATATACTAAATTTCTTTCAAGAATCAACAAAGCATTGAAAGAGATCAAAATGTAATATATTCATATTCTGGCTAAACACTTTCAGGACAGAGAGGAAACAACTGGAGGCAATTTTTCAGTTATTGAAAGAACAAGAGGATAAGTTCCATGTAAACTCCATGGAAGAACTAGAAGATCAGCTCCGACTGTACCGCAGATAACCCACACGATGCACTCCTGTAATGCAACAATAATTTCAGGAAGACATGTTTATAAAACTATAACAATAAGAACAAATAGTTAAAAAATAATTTAAAATCAGAGAGCATTATTTTTCCACTGAAGTAGTTAAGAATGTAAAAGAACATGGAACATAGCCATGTTATTATGAACAGTGGCAACTGGATTCAAGATAACTTATTTTTAGTGTCACAGAAGTGGGATTATTGATTGATACAACATTCAGCTTTCAGTCACCGAAAAAATGTGATTACTCATAAGATATGTAAATAATTTCCATAGTGTTAGCTGGAAATAGATCAGGATAAGTTTAAAGTAGATTACAGTTTTCATATTGCATGAAGCTGTGAGATGGTCATATGGAAGCTTTGAGTCTGTCAGCCTGAGTCTTGCAAATCCAGACAGCCTCTGTGGTCTAGTGGTCAGAGTTCCTGGCTACAGATCCAGAGGTCCAGGTTCGATTCCCAGTGCTACCAGATTTTCTGAGAAGTAGTGGGTCTGGAATGGGGTCCACTTAGCCTTGTGAGGATAACTGAGGAGCTATTTCAAGGAAATGGTGGCTCCGGTCTAGAAAACCGAAATTAACAATCATGTGAATTCGTTGCACTGACCACATGACATCCTCTATCCGCTAAAGTTGGCACTAACTTTGCCGACAAGCAGCAGTTGCTTAGCCTGTGTAGTTTGCTTGCAGACTAGATGCCACAGAGTTAGTTATTACATGAGATCCTGTGGAATAACAGTTATATACTCTGAAAAAGCGTGAAATAATTTGTAACGTGCCAGTCTAGTAAACTGCAGCATCAAACAGTAGTAATGTAAACAGCAAATTATAGCTGACAAGATCATAAGGATAACTGTTTTCTTATTGCACTGCTGTGACTGATGGGAGTGAACTACGTGATGCATAGGCAACTGACCCAAGATCTCTATAACGGGACTCTTTGGACAAATCAATTTTCAAATATGGAAATTTGTATTTCTGCACATCGGCCACAAGGTGTTGGTCATACTCTTGTACATAAATCCTATCGAAATACAGACATACAAATCTGAAAGTTATACGCTACTGTTAACATCTGTTGTGGGAATTTTCATTTAGTGCAATTCTACACTTTTTAAGTGTTGGGTGCAAGAACAGTGTGTCAGATTTTATACATGTAAAGGAAATATGCACAAATTAACGATTTATTAAAATTTGTAATTTAATTGTGTTCAAAGGTGCTTACAAGTTAGTGGATTAATATTACTTTAGTACAGAATCCTCTGCAGTAATTTGCTAAATGAAATTCTGGTAAAAGAATCAACTTGGAGCTAAACCTCTCTGTGCATAAAGTGCTTTAGATATAAATTAAATTCTATTGTCATATGGTGAGTGCTGAAATCATAATAGAACGTAGCCATCTGATCTTAATTGTGGTATATACTAACACAGACTTGGTATAGTACAGTGAAAAAGTCTAGAAATGGGTTAAAGACAGTCTGAAACTAGAAATAATATTTGTTGCATACCTCAAACTTTCTGGTTGTAAAAGAATGTTTGTTACAGTGGAACCCCATTTAGCGTTCCTAAATTTAAGGTTTAGTGATCCCAAGTCTGTCATCTAAGTGTCAAATTACCTCTGAGATTCTCGTCCATTTATTGTTCCAACTCCACAGCCCTCTCCCCAGAGCAACGATAAATGTACATGTATTTTTATACAGCCAAATACATTTACAAATTAGGAATATATAGGTCTACACAGTACAGAAACTACGTATATTATCAGATAAAAATTTAAAGTAACATTACTGGGATTCATATCCAATGCTTCACAACGTTTCATCCCAGGACAGTTCATATTGAATTACTGAAAGTATTTAGGTTTTATCCTGTTTACACACTTATCAGTCACTGCTCATGAGGTATGAACTATAGCATCTCCCTGGAGATATTAATGGAAATCATGAAAAACTCACAAGACAGCCAGTAACATGGACAACATTGAGCTGAGTACCACCTGAATGCAAGCAAAGTATTCAGTTTCATAACTGTGACTACATTATAACACAGTGGCATAACCCAAACAAGTAAAATCTTAATTTCCAATGCTGTGAAAATCTCAAATTTCATCGGAAGAATTGCTTGTAGGCCGTTAAATATACACCATAATGAAAAATGTTTGATCTTAATTTTGTTGTATGTGCGTGAGAAGGAAGGAGATAGATTACAATAAGTCATTTTGAAAGAAAAAAAACTTTTGAGATTCATTTAAAATAAGTTATAGTGGACTGGTAAGAACCAAAATCATATTTTCCTGACATTTGATATAGACCTCTGATACTGAATTTTATCACATCCATGCAGTAGTAGATACAGAGTGTAGAGACCAGTAATCTAGTATGTGCAGGCTGTTTTTATGGTGTTTCACATGTGAAGTGGAAAAAGTTTGGATGATGCAGTGTTACCAGTTTACAAGAACTCACTGCTGATCTATGTGGTGTCTATCTCAGGACAAGCAATACTCCAACATTGTAACCCTGTAGCTCTGTTTTTTCCTACATGACAAATTGACACTCAACTGTCATGTCTGTGGCACTGAGTGCACTGGTATCTGAAGCAGTAAAGGCAGCCAGATATGCTCTCTGCCTTACTTTGTACTAGTCTGTAATGTACATTAGTATGTGAAGTATTTTAACAGTCACAGGGGGGAAGAAAGGATATATTTTATGCATGTTTACAGCATTTGTGTAATATATACTGTCAAGAATTATATGAAAAATAAGTATCTTATTGTCTATTATTGTTTGTTTTTTTAGCTGCTACACACACCAAGTCCTCTTGGAACTTGACCATGTAATAATTCTTCAGTATCCACTTATCTATCCATCACAAGGTTTATAAGATATTTCAAGATGGAATTCAGTACACACAAAAAATGATAAGATGGTGATGATAAAAATGAAAATCCCACAAAACAGGCAAGGATTTTAATTTAATGAAATTAAATCCCTTAGCCACTCTTCTACATTTCTTCTTATAAACATATCAAAGAAGAAAAAAATGCAAAGGAACCAAAAATATTTGTTTTTACTGATCTATTTCAGAAAGAATAAGCATACTGTATTATGTATTTACAGGATGTGTAAGAATATATATGAGGGAATTTTATTGTCTTCTAAACCATAATTCTTTCTTAACTTTTATTCACCTGTTCTACAACAATTAATAAAATTGCTGAATTTGTAACATCATCCAGATAGCCTCAAAAATATGTTCATAACAAAGTTCCCTTCTACAATTAAATCAGAGAGGAACCTTATGTTTACATGCCTGTTGCATAGAAGACTAGGTAGTTGCAGAATCTATAATATTTGTTGCCAAACTTAATTCTGCATGTGGAAAGAACCATGAACTGCTGGTCTCCACCTTCTGTCCCATTAAGATACTTAGTCAGGTGGTCAGTGAGTCAATGATTTCATTTTCAGACAGATCTTTCTCTCATTGCTTCTTCCCGCTGTCCTGGCCCTCTGCTAATGTCATACCTTCCCCTCATGAGCTGCACAGTTACTTTCAGAAATGTACAAGCTGCAATATCTAAGGTCAGTGAACAGTTTCCTAGGTTAAGCACAATGTATATTATGCCTTTATGATACCATACACTAACCACCTCTGTGGTCTAGTGGTCAGAGTTCCTGGCTACAGATCCAGAGGTCTGGGTTCAATTCCCGTGCACTACCAGATTTTCTGAGAAGTAGTGGGTCTGGAACGGGGCCCACTCAGCCTCGTGAGGATAACTGAGGAGCTACTTGAATGGAACAGTAGCAGCTTCAGTCTAGGAAACCGAAATTAATGGCTGTGGGGATTCGTTGCGCTGACCACGTGACACCCTCTATCCGAAAAAGTTGGCACTAACTTTGCCGACAAATAGCGGTGTCTCGGCAAGTATAGTCTGCTTGTGTACTAAAACCATGGAGTTTGCTTGATACCATACATTGCTGATCACAGTGACCACACAATCTAAGGCATGGATTTCTGTGTGTTTATTCTGTTAATGTTGTCCTGTGTATAAGTAACAGTGATGGTCTAGTCCTGATTGTACAGAATTACGAAACTGAAGAAGTGACCAGAGCCCAACAAAACACTGTAGAGAAACTAATGAACGAACAATACTATCCATCATAACTGCAACATAGTCTTTTCTGAAAAACTGTCTACACTGATCAAGAAATTGACCACTTCTGCCAAACCTTTTCACAAATGCCCTATGACTGGACCATACCCTGAGCCACTTACATCACTCCACACCCTCACATCCTATTTCTCCATTCAATTTTAATATTATTCTCCTGTCTACATTTAGGATTTCAGGTGGTCTCTCCCAGTGAGGTTTTCTGGCTGTAATGCTGTATCCACCTCATCTTCCTTGATTTAATTATCTTAAGAGTAAATTTGTGAAGAGACAACTGCAACTAGAAACCTGGTATGTGTGGTCTGCCCTGTATGAAGCTGATTTACTAGAAAATGAAGCCAATATGTGCAGCTCTGCAAAAACTTTCTGACAAATTCTTATGCGAAAAAATATGAAGAATTACCTGCTGTTAATTAAATGTAATATGTCCATCACTTGAGCTAATTTGTCTGATGACTGAACAGATCCATTGTGATAGCACTCAGAAACATAGGAGGTGAATGTTGACGCTTCAGATGCAGATTAATAAATGGTTCAAGAGTGGTGGAGTAAGGCGTCTCAAGCAAATCTGGGCCGCTATCATTCAGCTGAAAAAGAGGGGGTAAAAATTGCTGATCAATAGGCTTAACCATTTGATAGTCATAACACAGATATCTGTGTGTGGGTACATCTTCCTCAGATCATCCCTTTCACGAGCAAGTCAACAGGCAGAAGTAAGTATTTCTGGAGTAATGCTTTCCCAGTAATCAAGAACAATTTAATTTTTTCCTTCTCTTCTAGCTTTCTTCTTCTTTATTTAACTCTCCTCCTCCTCTTTTCCCCCTTGTTGTGGTTCCTCTTCATTTGTCCTCTTCTACAGTTTTTTCCCTTTTTCTCTATCATCTGCTCTGTCTTCTCTTTCTCTTGTCCCCTTCCTCCTTACACCTCTTCCCATCATTTGGCCTCATTTTAAGCCGGTCTTTGTTAATAGTAATTTAGTGGCATGTAGCTAGAATTGTTCTGCTTTCCATTTCCAGTCAATGAGGCTCTTACTAGTGGACCTTACACAGTAAGTACCTCCCACCCTTTCATGTGAAGACAGGAATAGATCCAATTCCAAAGAAGTTGTCTTTAGAATACCGGACAATGGTCAAGGTCAATAAACCCAGCAATCCCAAGGCCACAGACAAAACCCTCTTAGAATTTAGCAGAGAACTGCAGCTACTACAAATTCATATTACATAAAAGAACTTAGGAGCTAAAGAATGGGTATTTATTGCTGGCATTACAAACCAGTGCTGAGGTCTAGATTGTGTGCAGCTTCTTAATGCCCCATAATCACCTTGATTCAGTTGGGTAAACTAGTCTTCAGGCATTTTCATTGTGTCCTTATATGTTATGACACCATGTATACTGGCTGACACCTGACACCTCCTTTTGTCCTTTAGATGGAAGTAAAATCTTCCTACAAAACACTGATAATCATCTACCAGACTGTAGGGTGTCATAACCCAAAAGGCAACAGTCTAAATCTTAACTGCCATGAAAATTTCATCTCTCATATAGTTTCAGACACAGGAAATCTTGGTTGTTCCACATACCTTGAACACTAGGTAATCGTCCTCAGACTCAGCATACATGCTGGAGAGACGGCAGAGGCCAGATTCGACACGATCCATCCTGTAACCAAGCAGCATGTAACAAGCATCTCGGTATTCCTGGATTGTAGTTTTGACAATTTCTTTCACCCTCTGGAGTTTCATTTCATAAGACTGGATTTCCTTTTGTAAATCTGCAATACAGAAATATACAATGGAATCAGATGTTGAAGTGCCAGCAAACATGATACAATCAACCCCACTACTACTCCCCGTGCTCAGTCACCAGGCCATGGAGGCAAAGGTCCAAAATTAAGCTGCAAGTATGAAACCATAATCATCACCACCATCTTACACTAACATTTTGTTACTCTTCTAGGCCATTCATCCAATTTTGGGTCACCAAAGAGTGCAAGACAGCACATGTGAAATGAAGACAAACATGCACACTTGGAGATGACTTTGCTGGACAGGGCAACATACTGTGGAGTTGAAAGGTCAAAGGATTGGCTGCATGAACTGAAGAACAGTTTAGTGCTTATATATGCTTGGAACAGACATATCCCTGGATATTACCTGGGTGTAGTCAATCTAGATGGAGGACAAGAACTTTCCGACTGAGGAGCTGACTAATCAAAAAGAAAATTAATCAACTTATTATAAATGATCTGAGTCACGTGGTAGCATAGTTGGTTGAGGCACTATGCTACAAGCCGGAAGGTCGCAGGTTCAAGTCCCGATGAGGTCATTGAATTTTTTTCAATTGACTACTAATCCTTCCAGCCGCACTATGGCCCTGGGGTTGACTCAGCCTCTAACAGAAATGAGTACCAGGAATATTCTTGGGGGTAAAGGGCAGCTGGTGCATAGGGCTGACAACCTTGCCGCCAACTATGAACCAACTGTCTAGAAAATGTTGGAAACCTCAACCTCTGACATCCCCATGGGCCTCCATGGCCTGTTACAGGGATAAATTTAAGTCCATGATTTATTTAAACCGTCTTGTAGTGCATACACTCATTTATCTCCTTCTCTCCCTCGCACTACATGTTTCGGCATAATAATGCCATCTTCAGGTGCTTACTTATCCACGCCAAACTAGTTCATTGCATGCCTTGTTCTCATATTAAAATAACTAAAATATGTATCTATCATATATATTGTCAGACGTTAAAAATATTAAAATTGTTCAGGATACCACATCACTACGTCGCACCTCACTACGCCAGTCACGCCCATTCTCCTCTGTTGGAGCACTCCTTCACTATCATGTGTGTGTTGTGTCTTGCTCCTGTGACTGCGTGTGTTATACTGCGAGTATAACACACGCAGTCACAGGAGCAAGACACAACAAAAGCACAACACACACATGATAGTGAAGGAGTGCTCCAACAGAGGAGAATGGGCGTGACTGGCGTAGTGAGGTGCGACGTAGTGATGTGGTATCCTGAACAATTTTAATATTTTTAACGTCTGACAATATATATGATAGATACATATTTTAGTTATTTTAATATGAGAACAAGGCATGCAATGAACTAGTTTGGCGTGGATAAGTAAGCACCTGAAGATGGCATTATTATGCCGAAACATGTAGTGCGAGGGAGAGGAGGAGATAAATGAGTGTATGCACTACAAGACGGTTTAAATAAATCATGGACTTCAATCAGTGCAACAGGACGCCAAAATATAACATTAGGGATAAATTTACTTTTACTTTATTATGAATGATTATTTAAATTGTGTCCTTAAATCAATCAACTTTTCTTGTAGTGTTTCTGCTTTCAGGTCCTGTCTAATATTCTGGCTTCAGATTTTATTCCTTCTTGTTCATTTCTCGATACTCCACATAAACATCATCTCTACTACTTGTAATGTGTTTACATCCCTCTGAGTATACCATGAAGTTTCTGTTGAAAATCAGAACAGGCAAGGAATATGTTTTGCATGACTAACTTTAATATCCCATTTGCAAAGAACAGTTCTAAGAGTCTAATAAATTTCCTTGTTCCATAATTACTCTGTCATAATTGCTTAATTTTGAAGCTTGAAATTCTACTCCACAAAATGTTTTAGCTTCTAAGATTTGTAACAATATAATAAGAATTTCTTGTCGCTACCGTGGTCTCTGTAATTTCTTCTTAGATTTTTCTGTTTGACATTTAGCAACCCAAAGTTTCCAATGATTTTTTTTAAGAATCTGTCTCATACACAGTGTGTCCAGGTTCTGTTAGGACTGTGTTCATTAAAAATACAAGACATGAATTATTTTAAAAATTTCATTCTTTTTATTCAAAACAGTCTCCTTCTGAATCAATACATAGCTGGAATTGATTGAAAAGTTTTTGAAAACAGTCACTGTACTCCTTTTGTGGAATCACATTTAAAACTGTGGTAGATTCCCTTTGGATGTCCTGGATGGGGCCGTGACGGTCTCCTTTCATCGCCAACTTAACTTTTGGGAACAACCAGAAATCTGCTGGAGCCAAATCTGGTGAATATGAAGGATGATCAAGGACTGTAATCCCCTTTCTGGCCAAAAAATCACACATGATCTTCGATTTGTGGGGTGGGGCATTGTCGTGGAGCAGTGACCAGGAACCTTGCTCTCGATATTCAGGTCAAATTCAAAGAATTCTCGCCCACAAAAGATTGAGGACTCTGAGATAATAATCAGAATTCACTGTTTGACCTTCTGGCAGAAATTCCTTGTGAATGATTCCTTTGGAATATAAGAAAATGGTTAGCAGTGTCTTTACTCGACTCTTTTGCATGCACACTTTCTTTGGGTTCAACAACGCTGCACTCTGCCGCTTTATGAGAGGCTCATATTGAAAACACCACGTCTCATCACCAGTAACAATCAGTTTTGTAAATTCTGTATCACTTTGGATCGACCATAACATGTCTTTGCAGTGTTCCACTCTGGCATGTTTTTCATCGCCTGACCGCGTGCGGTACAAACCGTGCATAGACCTTCTATTTGCCCAGATTCTCGGTCAAAATTTTATGCACAGTACTTTCTGGTATTCCCAAAAGCTCCTCGAAGAGTCTTGCAGAAACACATCTGTCTGATACACGGATTTCGGTCACTTTTTTTTTTTTTTTTACATTTTCTTCAGTGTGAATTGTTCTCGGCCTTAATGCATAGTGGAGTGTCTTCAATGTCCTCCCTGCCGTCATGAAATACAGCATACCACCGAAAAATGTTTGAGCGACTCAAACAATCACTACCGTACACACTTTTCATCATTTTGTATGCTTCTCTGGCTGTTTTGCCTAACTTCAAACAAAATTTGATGTCGGCTTTCTGTTCAACTGCCATTTTCCGATGAGCGTCAGAACAGTACTGTTACATTCAAGGTCAGAACACATGATGCAGCGATGCTTGCGCTTTGAAATTACATACAGTCACAGCTGAAACTTCAAGAATCTTAATGCCATAACTCACCAACAGATGGCATTGCAGGGCAAAATATATATAAAAAAAAAAAAGAGTCCTAACAGATCCTGGACACACCGTGTATTTTGCCTAATTCCATCCGTATTAATTACATATTTTTTCCACAGTGAGGGACTGGATGTGACTGCATATGTGGTATAGTGCTCAGAGTTCCTGGCTACAGATCCAGAGATCTGGGTTTGGTTTCTGGTGCTACCAGATTTCCTGAGAAGTACTGGGTCAGGATCGCTGTTCACTGAGCCTCGTGAGGATAATTGAGGAGCTATTTCAAGGAAATAGCGGCTCTGGTGTAGAAAACCGAAATTAAAGGTCATAAGGATTCATTGCGCTGACCACACACCCTCTACCTGCTAAAGTTGGAACTAACTTTGCCAACAAGCGGTGGTCACTCAGTCGGTATAGTTTACTTGCAGACTAAAACCATGGAGTTTGTTTTGTTTTTGTTTGATGGACTGCATATTACCTTGAACTTCTTGTGTGTTGGAAGCAGCAAGGTGCAAATTGACTGCCTCTGTCACGTCCTGTGTCTGTCCCTCTTCGAGAACTCGCACCCTCACCTGTAGCCTATCACATTCTTGCTGAAGGCGTGTCAACCTGTCCTCACGTTGGATTTCTGCTTCTGCTGCAGGATTCATCCTGCAACATTCAACAACCACTGCCAAAAATTATGTCTAATAAAGACACTTTATTGGGACCATCCTATGTTCTAAGGGTCCTCTCAAATAATCACATACACTCAACTCCTGATTATCCGGGATAATGGTGGGGATGGAAATCACGATTAATCGAAAACCCGGTTAAGACAGATTTTATTAAAAGTAGTACTGTAATACTGTACCTTCATAATACTATAGGCCTACCTGTATTTAAATTTATTCAACCTTATTTTTATGTCATCTCATGGCCTATTTAATACATTTTTTGCATTACACTGAAGTATGAATTAGTTATTTCAATCACAGTGTTCAACAACATCCAACACTTTTTACGAATATTCACACTTAACACTTAAAAAAATTTAATATTGTCGTTTGCTTTTTTGTGGCATTTTCCTTTTTACGGATATCCGTACGAAGCCTACGTAATATTAGCTTGTCACTTAATAAACTGTTCTCTTCACTCTCAAGATAGTCTAGTAAGGATTCCAAATGATTAAGAGCAGCACCATGTGATATTTTCTTACTAAAAGCACTGTCAACCTCTTCCTCATTCTCACTTTCTTCCCGCTCTTCTGGCTGCACCCCCACGGAACTTACGATTTCGTCACTGCTTTACATTTTTAAGCCCGGCTCACACGAGTTACTGTTGAATACTTAACACAACACGCTTCCTTTTATGCCCTGACATTTTGCTAACACACTTAAAGATCTGTATCTGTCCTTGAAACTTTCCACAAATCCTTGCATTCTTTCACCCCTACCCTAGAACACTGCGTTAGCATAACGGGACCAAAAAATGCTGAGCTTGGTTCACTAGTGCAAAAATAGTGTTACAACTCACCATGTGAAACAAAAGTGAATGAATATTAAACAACATATAAGCCTCAAAAAAGCCCTGGTAGCCCCGGTTAAGTCACAAACCAGTTAATTGAGAGTTGAGTGCAGTTCACTATTTTAAGATAAATTCTTAACCAGAACAAGCCAAAGAACCTAATCTATAACAGATGTGGAACAAAAGAAGGAATTCCTTGGTTAATTATCATATAATAAAAGTGTAAAACATGTGCAATTTAAGAGCATGTATGGTTTCTGAACATGTTCTTAACAAATTTTTAAATTTCTCTAAACAGAGACTTGATGTTCATTTACTGCAGATACAGATCTACTACTGACAGAGATGTTATACTATAGAGCCATTTTTCTTGCATTTTGTAAGGATGCTGGATTAGCGGTGCTGCTCTTAAGACTTGTGTTCAGTAGGAACCTGGACTGAATCTCAACCAGTCACAAGCCATCTTTTTAAACTACAGTGGTTAACTACACATACTAGCTGCTTTAACATATATAACTCTATATTCTGCCCATGTAGTGTATTTACATATTGTGTATGATTCTCAGAATAAGCAGAGATTATTTCTTTCAACAGCATTAACTGGTTGCCTTTTTAATGGAGATGCACTTAGTTCTCTGTATGAACCAAAGAACCAATCATCCTTTTATTTCCACTGATATACATCAGATAAAAAACATTTCCAGAAGTTCTTGATTTTCATAACCCAAATATTTTACATCACATACACATTTTTGTATAAGCCATACATATGATAAATGATCCAATCTGATTTGAGCTTTATATAAATATGACTGACTGCTCTGAAATGAAATCTATGTAACATTTTTCAGTATGGGCCTTTGATGTGAAACTGGATCCAAATGAATTATGTAGAGAACAGTGGGATACAATAGTGCAGTCAGTGTTGTGAGTAGGCTATCAGCTGGGAAACCAGAGAATCAGGGTTAAATTCTTGGCAAGTGAAGTGATTTCTCTCTTCTCCACAGAATGCCATTCAGGTCTGGGGCCAACCAACCTCCAATCGGATAGACACCAGTGACTTTTACCTCAAGGTAAAGTAGCTGGGAAATAAGTTATTACTCACCCCCATCCAGTGCTGAGTTTAACTATGTGTGAGCTATACCTTCACTGCAGCATGTTTTCCTAATGTGTGCACAGTTACGCACAGGCAGAACTTATGTACAAAAGAACTTCTACTGTCGTCTTACCTGAAGTGCAAAACCTTGGACTTCACAGGATTGAAATCACCCTTCAGGGCCCTGTACTCCAGCTCCACCTCCAGCTCGTCCCTGCGTTTCATCAGATGTTCCTTCTCTTGTTGCAGAGAATTTATCTCTTCCTCCAACTTACTGATTCTTTCACTGAACTGGACACCTGCAAGTTTTGACAAAATAATAACACTCCAAAGACCTAAATAGGAATAAGTGAACAATTTATGATATCAGCTAATAAGAAACTCTGTGACATATGCAGGTCACCTAGCACTGACAGCACAGAAGAATTTAGACAGTATAGTTTAGGTTGGAAGGATGAAGCATGAAATACACATAAAAGTTTGGTGAAAGGTGATCACGCTTTAATCTCAGCAGTGTTGAAGTTTATGGTTCTAGTACCAGACACACAGAGGCTGTTAAACCATATGACTGTAACTTCAGTCATGTATGTGCTTGCCTGAACCTTTCACTGTTTTTTCTAGATCCGCCTCTAACTTCTCAACCAGATCACGGTATCCTTCAATTGTCTTCTCCAATGCCTCTATTCGTGACTTCTGCTGTTGCTGCTGAGAGTTCACAAATCCTGATGAAGAAGTTATTGTTAATTCCTTCTCGTACAGGTCCAGTTGTGACCGATAGCTGTCTCTTTCCTGGAACATTGTACCTTACATGAATGACCTATGAAAGGATGATGTATACGAAGTGCACTTCATGGGACCTTTCAGTTGGTAACATTCCAGTTTACATGATTGCAATATATATCCAGTAAGTTTCCCCCAGAAAAAAAAAATACAGTGGAACCCTCATTTGACATTCCTTGATTACTGGTTTTCCCTCATTTAACGCTCAATTTCTCTGATCTGCAGTCAATCATCTCTGTGTCAAATATCTTCCATTTAAGACTTTCCTTAGTTTAGCTTTAAAATCAACTGCTCCCCATATAAACCTCAAATGAGGGTCTCACCTATTTTGATTGCCATCAGAAAACGAACATTTAGTGATGAAACCTTGCTACTGGCAGATACAAAACAGCATCTCTTGATGTTGATCCTGCTCTTGGGTACTGCAATGTAAGTGGGCAGTGTTGTCAACATTATGTAGGTACATGCTGCTTTCATCTTCTGAGTCAAAGGCAGTAAGACATACCAGTGTTCATGTACATACAGAGTTTGGTCAAACATGCTCAAAGGGGAAGGTAATGCATTCTTGTCCATAAGGCCCAAAGGGTGAAGTGCGGAGGAGTTTTAGTCCAATAAACCCATAGGAAAAAGAATCACTCACCCTACTCCAACACTGAAGATGGAAGCAGCATTTATATCCAACACACTGGAAACACTTCCAGCAGTCTCAAGAGGCCTAATATCATAAAGGATAATGATGATAATAGCTTGTATAGCTGAAGAGTGGCTGGCCAATGTAGGTAGACAGGCACCATGTTGCCTAAGTGTAAATGTGTTTAGATTACAAATCAGAAAGCTGATAACACTCTTCTGTGTATAAAGACATACCCGTGAGACTAGAAGCAACCTCTTCTGAAGGCGTTTTATAAGCTTGCTCTGATCATCATTCACTGTTTGCATGCCCTCTATCTGCTTTGTTGCTTTACCCAGCTCCATGGAAACTTTGGATTTGGCTTGCTGGGTCGCCTTCATCCTGTATCACACACAAAACTTTCAAAACTATAGGAAACACTTAAGACTACTATAAATAAATGAAAAAATTAATTTTGCATTCAGTTCTCCAATAAAGTACAACTGTTTTACAGCGTGTTAACCTTTTGTCATGTAAATATGGTGACAAGCTGTCTAAAATCCTTAAATTTCAGTGTCTTGGTGCCATAGAGAGGCATCCATTTGCTAGGTGATGGAGACACAAATCCCTGCCAGCCATAAGAGTCAAGGTGCTTCTGGGAACCAAATCACCTAGATGATCCATTATGAAGCATGTCAGACACGTCACTGTTCTGGATCAAGCATATTCCTAATCAGCCTGCTACCACAGTACAACAAGAAACTGAAGCAAGGAGAATGTAAAAAGAGAATTCAGGTGAAGACAAAGAAGGCAAGCATCAGAATGGAGAGTTCAATGCCCAACTGTACACCCTACAAATGCTTATATGCAGCTACAAATAAGACGGACGAGCGCCACCTAAGTCCATTTTCAACCACAAACCACAGTGCAGTCATATCGACAATGTTTCTTCTGGAAAAGCTTGTTCAGGTTGTGCTGCAATCTGCTATTGTTTTTGTATAATATTTATATAAATACTGCACAGAAGATTCCATTTTGCTTTAAGAGAAGTCCAAGTACTGCACTTGTTTTACTTATTTAAGCTTACGATTCTTATGGCCTGATAATTAATTACAAACAGTAACATCTCAAATTTGAAGTTTCTTTGGGGAGAATGAATTTGGCCACTGAATTAAGAAAAATCTTCACCGGAGGTAATTTATGACCAAGATGTGGAACTACTGGGAGCATGGCTGAATTAAGTGTAGGGAGGCAAGACTAACATAGGACAGTACCTTGAAACAAGCTACACAACTGCTTCGATTCAAATATGTAGGTAAGTCAATAAGTAAGTTACAAATGGATATAGAACTTAAACAAATAAGAGTACTGACTTGAAAAATGCTTTTATTTCTCAACATAATCTCTCTGTACATTGAGGCACTTGTCCCATCATTTCCAAGCCCCTGAAAACCAGCAGCATAAAATTCTTTGGGCTGTTGTTGGAACCAGGTGGTGACTTCCCTTTCTACAGCTTCATCGTCGGGAAAATGTTCAGCCGAAAGATGATGTTTAAGAGGGCCGAACAAATGGAAGTCGCTTGGAGCAAGGTTGGGGCTATATGGAGGATGCTTGAGGACTTCCCACTTGAAATTTCACAGTCTCATTTGTCTTGTTGGCAGTACGGGAATGCGCGTTTCATGCAAGAGCAACACACCTGGTTCCGACAGCAGCCCAGAGATTTTATGCTGCTGGTTTTCAGGGGCTTGTGAAATGATGGGACAAGTGCCTCAATGTACAGGGAGATTATGTTGAGAAATAAAAGAATTTTTCAAATCAGTACTCTTATTTGTTTGAGTTCTATATCGATGTGTAACTTACACATTGGCTTACCCTTGTAGTTGCTTACTGAATATTCACAATCATCTCTCCATCTCATTCAATGCTACAGAACCCCAAAATTGAAGCAGCATCAATCTGCATTAAAACTGTACGGACTGACCTCGAATCAAGGTGCCCCACATCTGCAGTAAGTAAGAGCTCTTTCTGTTGCAGTGTTTCAATCCTCATCCTAAGTAATTCTGGCCCTGCCATGGCTTTCTCTGGTGGGACTCCAAGGCAGTGGTCACGAGCAAGTTGACGCCAGCGTTCTAGAACTGATTCCAAGTGTCCATGTGAGGCTTCTAGCTGTGCTAACTTCTGTTCCCGCTCCTCAAAACCTGTCTGGCGTGATCGAAGGTCCATCACCTCTTCCTCCAGTATAAGCTTATTGTGGACTGCATCTCTAGAACAATCAACATCAATGCTCTCTTTACTTAATTACTGTAGTTGTTACAGAAATGTTATCACCTCTGCTGTGGTGATTAGGTGTATTCAATTTTTGCCAAGTAGATTTTTCTTCCTATAACTGAGTACCCTCAATTCAAATTTTGTAGTCTTATAGTACAAACTGTCTTTAATCTATACTTTTTTAAACTTATCCATAAGCTTTTGCATATACTGGGAATATGGTAGTTTGAACCACGTTAGTTCATATTTTAATCGAAGTGCATTAAAGAAATAAACAATCACATCTGCAATCTGCTTTAATTACCCTGCTCACTGCATCACAGTGTCCATAAAGAAGAAGTAATTTGATCGGCGAAGATATTTTAGAACTCCTTGAGGGAACCAACTTCAATGCCATCTTTAGAATAGTAATTGTGAATATAAATATGTAAATCATTCAAGTAGTAAATGTGAAATTACTTGCTGAAAATAATTTAGCACTGGAGAAATCAAGATATTAGCTTTGATATCAGTTAGAGGAAGGAATATTTCTTTTCCACTATATCCACAAGGAATTTTGAGTCTGCCCAGCTTCCTGTCCTACTGCTTCATTTCCTGGGGTGAAGCAGCAGCCAATGTGTAGAACTGATGACTCACCTCCTTGTACTGCCATGGTTAAGGGCATGTGCAGTTTTGTGTTCATGCACCACATGTCTAAATGGTGCTTAGACATCGGATAAATCTACTTTCTTCAATAGTATACAATATTTACACCTGATAAAATTATTATATAAAGCATTAATAAGGCATAACACATTAAATGAAACACAGGGCAAACCTAAGGTTCCTATTTTCATCTCGGAGCAAAGCCACCTCCCGCTCCAGGTCTGGTAGTCGCATGAGATTATGTTGCTGTTTTTCCAGCAGTTCTCTAGCTTCTTCTCCTTTCTCCTTCTCAAGTTCCAACTCCTGAAAAGAAGGTGAAGTAAGTGAATCTTTCTACTTGACCAAGAAAGCTTGAATCTTTATCTCAAATGCAAATTTCACTGATGGAGGACTGGCATTCATGTCACGGTGTTCCTAAATCCTAATGGCACCTTAACTCAGTCTGAAACAGTGATGTGCATTAAATCTGAGAAGCTGCTGAATTTAATGCACACTCCTACTTTTAAAGTTAAACTGAAGAAAAATTGTTGCTGTGCATTCTCTTCTCACCAAAAAAGAACCTGTCACTTTACAATGGTTATACAAAACCTGTCAATTTTCCACAACATTCTCAGGAAGGAGGAGGATGAGAAGGATTAAAAAAAATTACCTTAATCCGTTGCTGTGCCTGAGTAAGGCGGTGTTCATCGAGTTCTACTTGATGCTTTAAATTTGTAACTCTGACTACTTTCTCTTCAAGCAATTTGATATAGTCTTTGAGTGATGTTGCCTCTTCAGTTGAAAGTGCTAACTCTGCCTCCAATTCTGATATTCGTTGTTCTCCAGCTGCACATTTCTTATGTGTAAGCTCCATCTGAATCATAATGGTTACAGGACATTAGCTGCTGCTGTTAACTAAAATGACCACCGAAGTCAAAGTAAACGCATCACAATTATTACTATTAACACTAATTATTAATTTTACCATTTGAGAGGGTGGTTACATCTGTAAACAAATGACAAATCTTGTTTTCCAACTGAAATTAAAATTCTCTATTTACAACACAAATTCCACCAGTAAATACTCCAAGATCTAAAAGTTTGTGATGATTGTACATTAGTACAAATATTATGTTTCTGGACTTTATCCATTGTCCTGTTTATATTTCATAACACACCATTTTGGAGCTTGGATTCTGTCTCCGTCTTCAGGTAAAACTTACTCACGTGGACCCAGCTGACAGAGCTCTGAACTAGGGACCAGCTCTATCGATTGGGCCCAACTGACTAAGTTTCACCTGAAGACGGAGATAGTTGTGTTTTGAAATATAAACAGGATGATCTTCTAGATAAAAACAGGATGATGGTAGGGCAACCTGTATTAGCAGGCACTTCCCCTTCCATCGAAGTTACACTTACTGCAGAGCTTACTTCTGCTGGTTGTAATTTATTTGTTCTAAAGAATGGTAATCTGTATTTTTGTGACTCAATGTACATGGTTGTTTTTATAAGTATCGTTATCACTGTTACCATGAGTTAATCAACTGCATCATAACAGCAACGTTAGACCCATTAAGCAAATCACTGTCTGCTACACTGATTCATCTTTCAGCTACACTCCTACAATTAACATTTATTCATAATTCTAACCATCAGACTGTAAACATGACATTCATAATCTTACCTGTTTAAACTGGTGAAAGAATCGGGCATATTCTTCTTGAAGCTGGAGGAGGATCTTCTTCTCAAGTTTATATTTACAAGATTCAGCAGACTGTTTATACTGAGAGAGTTCATCCCTGCTCTCCACCTCTCGTTTACGCAGTACAGCAACCCGGCCTTCCAATGCCTTGATCTATAAAAATAACTTCTCTGATCTAATGTAGATGAATGGCTAACACAAATGTATAAACTGTGTTCAAAATGAGACCCTGTGATGTAAAGGGTAAAATTTTTCCATGCTGAAGCACCATACAATGAAGGTGTAAAGGAAGTATTGAAGTAAAATACTAATCCCAGTACCAGAAGGAGGTGAACGGTCACCTTTAGGCTGGGGCCACATGAGTGCACAAAATGCGTCCGTTGTAACGAACATACTTTATGATGGATGTAAGATTTGAGGCTTTCACGGCGGTGACTATGAAGAAGGCAGTCTTCTGGGATTTGGCACCGTGTATATGTGGTGTTAACCCCCCATATACACAGTGCCAAATCCCAGAAGACTGCTTTCTTTATGATGGATGTTGCTGAGGACACCACACAGTTGCAGAATGTGGTGCATAGTTTATTGTCTGCAATGGAGCCAGAAGAAAGCGAAGCATTCGCCTCTCTTGTTTATTTCTACAATGGACGTCTCGACATTTGTTACAACGGACACATTTTGTGCGCTTGTGTGGCCCCAGCCTTAAGTTCCAGCTGCATTCAATACCAAATAGGAGCCTTACTGGATATGAGGCTAGGTCCAGAACTAGTCTGGAGGTGAAGGTGAAGAGAAAAATGATGCCTCTGCCAAGAACGAACCCTCAGTTATCTAGCTCCCAACGTTGCTCATTTTACAAATAAAGCTATCTCAGCACCTTGTGACAAGAAAATATGAATTTTAAGTTGCTGAACAACTTTAAGGATTCTAACACTAAACAAAATTAACACCCTTAAATTAATCTAAGCTATGATGCCATCCAATTACAGTCGTCAGTTTTGTTTTACTGTACTTCGTTTGACTTTTTATGTGTTTATTGCTTAAAACAAATGCTTTATGCAGTCACTGTAGCCATTAACAGTCAGCCCATTTATATAATTAATCTCTGAAACTTCTCAAAAGATTCTGATAATATTTTAAATTTGCACATGTTCAATGAAACCGATGTTGTTTTCAAACTCAGTCACACCAGCATATCTATAAAATAAAAGAAGTCCTGGATAGAACTAATGACATCCATGTCCTCTGAAATGCTTCAATCTAGATGGTGCACCCAGCAACAACTGTAATATAATAATTAGGCCTCTCCAGTTTACCGATCCATTTGTGTACATAATTTATAATAGTAAAGGTTTCAACTGTTTTACATTTTTATCACAGTGTTGCACCTTTGCCATATTTGTAATAGAAATGTTTATTAACTATCTCCACACAAAATTTCACATGCTCAGCAAAATCTGCTCATTAGTCACTGCTGTAAGATCAAAATTTGACACTGAATTTGAACTATCACCAAACTTTGGCTTTACATGATACAAGAAGTTTGGGGAAGAACTAATCGCTTACTTTCCTTTGATAAAACATGGAATGCATACAAAATGACACCTCTAACAATTCTTCATTGCCACAGGAACATCTTTACCGAGTTGTTACCTAGCAATGATAGGGAGATAACAGACCCACAGACTCTCCTTAGATACGAGACAGACCACACACAAAAAGACGTGTTCAACAATTCTTCTATTGTAATGTGTATTCTTTGCCACGAGAATGTGTTTACTGAGCACCTGCCTAGCACAAAAAGGAGGGACGCACTTAACTGAGCTGTTGCCTTGCAGCAATATGAGGGATACAAATACAGATACACAGACTGATGAACGACACTGTTCAGATGGGCACAGTTGCCATGATATACATATCAAGTTTCATAAGGACTGTTTCAGGCATTCAGAAGTTAATAGGGGTAAATATGCCCTTAACAAACTGTATATTTTTAGAATCTATCAACTACACAAATTGTCATGGCCACATATTAAACAGTGTTAATGTCATTTTCAGCTCAGAAATTTATGCACATTCAACTTTGGTATTTTTGATGGAAATAAATTAAGAGTACACAGATAGACTTGTCTTTTATATACCGGACGATGGGTGAAGTCTAAAATAAGCCAAAAGAAGTAAGAGTACACAGTTTGGGTGGCATGCATACATACTAGGTTTCGTTAAAATCTGTAACTGGTTGAAATGTTACTGGGGGCACTCATATACAATGCTATCAGAAGTTTTTTTTTATTGTGCATTCTTTGCATAAATCAGCATACTGGGGTTGGGGGGATACAATATCAATTCACCTGCCTGCCCTCATTTTTAATCTATGATACCATAGGCAGGACTGCATTCAAATTTGATACTGTGGACTCTATGCTGAAAGTTGAGACAATAATTTAATTTTTATCTTGACTGAATTCATATATGTGCTGTGTATTATCAAGGATATTTCTTGCCATTATCCATCAACACTCATAACAAGATTTACTTCATAAATGTATTAGCAGAAATGGGGTTCAGCTCAGCCACACATGAAGATGGTCATCTAAGGTACACAACTGCAACAAATAATTTGGAATTTAATCCTTTATGATTCATTTTAGGGTTATCTTCCCATCTATGCCTAGTTCTCCCAACTGATTTCTTACTTTCAATTAAAAATGTGTATGCACTTAGAATTTGTCTCACACATGCTGCATGCCTTGCCCATCACACCCTCCCTGAGCTGATCACCAATTGTCCTGATTCTTCTCCATTCAAATTCCAACATTAAGTAGCACCTCTTATTTAGTGTTTCATCATGCTTGACACATAAGTTATAAGTTACTAAGTAGATAAAATTTGTCACCCATTGGCTTGACACACTTACAGAAATATTTTGTTGCCCAATTGTTTACATGATAAATGTGAAGCAAACTTTGTTCTTATTATATAATCTTACTGTTTCTCTATCCCGCTCCTGTTGCTTTAAGAGGCTTGTTTTCTCATTGTCAAACATTAACTCCAACTCCATCCTGATAGAATGCAATTTTTGTATTCGTTCTTCCAGGCTGGCCTTCTGAGCCTTTGTTTCTGCCAATTCTGCCTTCATCCACCTTGTCTTCCATGGTGAAGCTGCAATTAAAAAAAAAAAAAAAACTTAATGGAAATGTTCTTCTTTTATAATAGGAAACTTAAAATTTGTAAGCGCATTGCACATCATATATTCCTTTTACCACACAAACCACCATTAATGTAAAAATGCATAATACATTTTTGATTCCCATGGATCTGCTACAGATAAGGTATGTGAATAATTTACTAACTATTTAACTACAAGAAACTAAGTCATTCTTCAGAAACAACCAGTCACTCAGCTACTCAAAAATTTCCAATCACTGAACAGAACCCTAACACTCATTATGATGATCACAAGATCCCTCCACTGGTACCTATCCTGAGCCAGACGAATTCTGTCTGTATCACCCATACTCCTTACATTCCACATGCCAGATCTCTTATCCAGTTTCCTTAGTGTATGTTTTTTTATCCCAAAAAAGTCTGTCCAATTCTGAGGACCTGTGTAACAATTTATAACATTATTTTTTGTGGTGAGGTTTTACCCCATGCCCAACCCCTCAGCCAGTAGACCATATCTTGTTGTCCATCCACTAGTGCTTATTCAATATATTCACAGCTACTCTCCATATCTGGAGTCCATCTCCTTGATCCGCAACACAAGAAGGCACATGCCATGTTGAAAAGGGATCCATTTAACATGGGTTTATAATAATAATTCAATTCAATTCAATTCTTTATTATTTATGTGCCAAGTTAACAGCCGTAAGGCCAATTACAGACTTAGCACAGTGAAGATGAAAGTAATTAAGTGTAACATTATACAAACATTAGACAAACACATTATAAGTCAAAAATAAATTACAGGAAATTTCTTGGGAAAACACAGTAATGAAGAAAAGTAAACAAACAAGCAAATAAATGATAATAATAACAATAATAATAATTTCATTATCATAAAACTAAGTGTTATTTAGAAGTGAAAAGAAACATAAATATTTAATT